CTAAGCAGATGATACCACTGTTTATAGACGCACTTCCAAAATCAATGACGATCGGAAACTTGCAGCGTATCTCTTCTCCCACTTGGCTCCCAAAGCCTAATGGAAGAATAACTAGCCTGTAACTTCAACCTCTGAGGCAAAACGAAAGCAAATATCGTTTCATTACCGTTAAGAAACTAGGTTTTCTTCAGTCACAATAAACGGGTCCCCACTCACTGTAGATGCAGAACGACTCAACGCCGCCGATTCAACACTGCCGACTCGACACCACCGTCTCAACACTGCCGACTCATCTTCATGACAATTCAACTCCAGGACAACTCACCACCAGCATACTCAGCGGAGCGCTTACGTCTTTCCTGTTGTGTTTAAATCTTTTCCTCATTGCTGATGCATCTGGCAATGATTCCAGTGCAACATGAAATAAATTTGCTAATACTTCACTTACTACTGTATTTGGCTTTTCAACGATGTCTTCGGCAAGACGTCTCAAGGCTATATGCACTTTAGCCACTTCTATACTGGCCGATGACAAATTGTGAGAATCCTTGTTTACTCCCTTGATAACTGCCCCAAACTTTGTATGAATCCGTGCACTGCACTTAGAACTTTGCCGTCTCTTTTATTAAACTTATCAAATTTCAAATAAATATGAAATTGTTTCTTTTCCTCTTTGACTAAGAATTTCCATTTTCGGTGGGATGAAATTTTGAAAATTAAACACTAGCCAGCGAAAATAGGTTGTTGTAAGTAATAAATCTATTGGGCTCAGATTCAACGCAGATCTCAAGTGAATATTATATATACAATCCAGTGCTATAGATGCTAGAAAATTGGCCACTTTAGGAAATATATCACACCTTCTCCCATGTTATAATTGGTTTATTATGTCTAGCTGGCATATCAACATCTCTTTGGGTCATTTAATGCGGAAATATATGATTTTAACACAATTTTATGACTTCAACTAAATATCTTTTGATCGCAGTTGTATGTTTTCAATGACAGACATAAATATACTGTTGGTCATTTTGCTAGAAAAATTTTAGTAATTTTACTATAAATAGGTATTGTTGATAATTTTACTATATAAGAGATATTGCTGGTATTTTTTACTATAAAAATGTATTTTTATACTTTCATAGTGTTTTGTTTTCGTTTGAAGGGTTCACTATTTGCCCATAGCTGGGACCCTAACAGGTGCTACCACTGCGGGTCGGGGCAGACCTGGGTACATCAATTAAGAGGTGGTTATATGCTTCTCTAAATTTCCAATCTTCCGATCAGAGGCCTTGCTGCTGGATGTAGTTCATCGTCATACCCAGAACTGGATTAGTCAGATTAAACTAAAATTCCAGCATTACTGCTATATGTAGACTAGAGGTGTTCAGTATTTATTTTACCAGATTTTATAGATGTCGAATACTTTTCTGCATTTTTCACGAAGCAAACGTTTTCTCCACCAACCAAATGCTGCAAGTAATTCGGTCGCTATTATCCTGTCAAATATTGAGATAATCTCCGTTCGTTAGCTCCCTTAGCTATATCCACGGAGTCGAATCCCCCACATTTCCCCCGTATTCAAAATGTACGGAGAAAGATCCATGGATGCGTGTTGAACACTTCAATATTGAACCCTTCAAATCAAGGGTCAACCTACCATTTTCTACAAGTATGTACACGACACCTATCAGTCCTCAACGTAATTGTAGAAAATACAAGTCTAGTAGCCTCACCCACATGTAAAATAAAAGAACAAAAATGATGGAAGCTCTAATATTGCGTTGGTGAATAATTATCAGGCGTTTTTGAGGGCGAGATATTTGTTAATAAAAATTGCTGTTTTGTTTACATTTTTTTAATAAAAAATATTTTATTTTCAGCTTTTAAAAATGCGTGTTGACAATCATACGTTTCGGAATAATCATTTAAAAATGTTTTTTTTGAATTGCCATGTTTCTTTTTCATAATTGTTGTGACCAAGTAACAGTTAAGAAATAACAAAACAAGAGGTTGCAGATAAATTGTGTATAGAACAGTAAACACAACAGAAGTGTGTTACATGAGATGGGAGAGTGTGTCGGTTGACCAGCATTCAGTCTATATCACTGTTAATATTTAACAACCCCCACACAAGGGATGTATGTGGCACAAGGCCGGGTTTACCGTGGGTTCTCCGACCCCGTAGGCTCGGCCAAAAATATTCCATTTGAACCCGTATAAACGAATTCAGGGCCTGTCTCCCTCTCCGGGCGAAACTTTGTCCTTCGGCAAAGCCTCGTCTGGGTCCCTCTCTGCCGAGGCAGAGAGTTTGACAGTTGAACAGTCTATATCACTGTTTTTTCCCGAGCCTTACTTTCGTACTATTATATAGTAAGTGGAAGAGTCCACAATATACTCATTAGAGGGAGTACACCACAACAATAATAAATATTGTTTAAAAAACGCTTGAAAATTATACACGAATCCAATAATAAAAAAGAAACACTCGATAACATCAAATAAGAACACGGCCACAATGTGCTGACCGTGTTCAAAAAATAAAAATATATTCCTCCCTCTGTTAAAACTAGTATGGAATTCTATACATTCAGTTAAAACTAAAAACATCCTTGATAGTGGATAACAGAATAACCGAAAGCACTCGTTCATAGAGAACATTCGGACAGTTTGTACACACTTTATATCCAGAAGAGAAATTATATGAACTCAAGAAAAATTGAATACACAGCGTAATTACAGTACCTTGTCAGACGACTTTAATGAATTTTATATATATATATATATATATATATATATATATATATATATTGGGTTGCTGCATAATCATTATGCGTTTTTATAGGCGAGTTATTTTTAATAAAAATTGCTGTCTTGTTTACTTTTGTTATTTATTTATTTTTAATAAAAATTGCTGTCTTGTTGACTTTCTTTAATAAAAATGTATATTTTATTTTCAGGTTATAAAATGAGTGTCAATAATTTTATGCTCCGCAATAATCATTTAAAATATCTTTGTTAAATTGTTTCTTTTTTCATAATAAATATTGATTAAAAAACGTCTGATAATTATGCACCAAACCACTACACAAAAACACACACAAACACACAAACATATATATATATATATATATATATATATATATATATATATATATATATATATATATAATCATCACGCAATACTGTTTGACCACGAAGGAATAGACGGTTAGGCGAAGCCAATTTCATGTTTTAAATTGAAAATTCTCCCGTCATAGATATCTCGAATTTTTTTTATATATGCTCATAGTCCCGTATCCAAACGCAAGCAAAGAGAATTTCCGAATGGATTTTTATTAATCCGACATATTTGTATCACTTTAAACGTTATTTTTAGTTGTTACTCGTATTTGAGTTCGCTCTCCATTTATTTATTAAACAGTATATTTATTTATTTTTTCTTCTGGCTTGAATAAAAAAAAAAAAATTCTCAATTTAACACACCCTTTATTACCAGCCGTGTAGTCCAGAAAGATGGAATCGAACGCATCCCATAACTGGCAGCTGAGGTTGAACTGGATTTGACACCTACCCCCACAGGAAATTGCGAACGAAATCTAGAAACTAAAATGTGTCAGGGATGAAGTCATCAATGGCTTCCATGTTGACATATGGAAGTACAGAGGCCCATCTCAGCAATAAAAGCCATACGTACTCCTCTTTCGATGTTGGGAGCTGAATAAGCTACGTCGTGACTTCAAAGACGCTGATTTCATAACACTTGGCAAAGAACAAGAGAAAATCCAAGCGTTAGAACTTAGAGAGTATCAGGCTGTTGGTGGCGAAAATTCTCTCGGGAATTCAATTGGATAGACTCATATTAAAGGTTTCTTTGGATTAGCCCGTTTAAATCCAGTGAGGAATTAAAAGAAAACATAGTAGAAATGACACTGTCATTGTTCTAGAATAAATACAGATTATGAACGGGAAGTCAATCAAAGGTCTATAATCTCACTTATGTATGATAGAACGTTACAATGTCAGAGATAGTGAACGTAAGAAGACGAAGAGAAGCGAATAAGCAGAGTGAGAAGGAAAAATATGAGGGAGATAGAGAGTAGACAATGAGGGTGAAATAATGGGGACCAGAAAGAGTAAGAGGGAGATACAGAGAATCAGAAAAAAGCGGGAAAAATATAGAGAGATATAGTGTTTGAAGAGAAGTAGTTAGTCATACTGAGATTGATTGATTTTTACGGCTTTTCAAGCCTTTGTGGTTTATTTAAAACCGAAACATATGCAGTGCTCCTTGGGTGCCTATATATAAATATAAGGCTCATGAATTATTTGAGGTAGTAGGTTACAGAGTAAAAGCCACAGTTTATGCGGATAAAGATTGTAGTGGTCGGGGAAGCATTCTATTTGGAGGCGTTTTGACGAATCAACGGTTCGTAGGAAGAAGCTGCTCGAGAGGGATGTACAACTCACTACTCGAATGTGGCTTGGTTTGCTACAATGTGCGCGGCATTGTGGGTCTTAGCCGTGAAGATAAGAACTGGTGGAATTAAGGAAGGTGGTTTGAACATTTTTCCCTGGAAGTAGCCATAGAATGGCCTGCGAGGATTCGTCTGTGAGAAACAGGTTTTAGGATGGAAAATAATTTTCTTGTACAAGTATACGGAGTCGCTTTTTAACTCAAGACCGTGATGACATAACTTAAGTAAAAAGTAGTACTCCATTTTCGCCTTGTAAAGAAGGAGTTAGCTAATGACTGAAGCGATAAAGGGAGCAGACCATTTTCGCATCTCCGTACTTCCCAAATATGTTTCGGTTTTAAATAAACCACAAAGGCTTGAAAAGCCGTAAAAATCAATCAATCTCAGTATGACTAACTACTTCTCTTCAAACACTATATCTCTCTATATTTTTCCCGCTTTTTTCTGATTCTCTGTATCTCCCTCTTACTCTTTCTGGTCCCCATTATTTCACCCTCATTGTCTACTCTCTATCTCACTCATATGTTTCCTTCTCACTCTGCTTATTCGCTTCTCTTCGTCTTCTTACGTTCACTATCTCTGACATTGTAACGTTCTATCATACATAAGTGAGATTATAGACCTTTGATTGACTTGCCGTTCTTAATCTGTATTTATTCTAGAACAATGCCAGTGTCATTTCTACTGTGTTTTCTTTTAATTCCTCACTGGATTTAAACGAGCTAATCCAAAGAAACCTTTAATATGAGTCTATCCAATTGAATTCCCGAGAGAATTTTCGCCACCAACAGCCTGATACTCTCTAAGTTCTAACGCTCGGATTTTCTCTTGTTCTTTGCCAAGTGTTATGAAGTCAGCGTCTTTGAAGTCACGACGTCGCTTATTCAGCTACCAACAGCGAAAGAGGAGTACGTATGGCTTTTATTGCTGAGATGGGCCTCTGTACTTCCATATGTCAACATGGAAGCCATTGATGACTTCATCCCTGACACATTTTAGTTTCTAGATTTCGTTCGCAATTTCCTGTGGGGGTAGGTGTCAAATCCAGTTCAACCTCAGCTGCCAGTTATGGGATGCGTTCGATTCCATCTTTCTGGACTACACGGCTGGTAATAAAGGGTGTGTTAAATTGAGAATTTTTTTTTTTTTATTCAAGCCAGAAGAAAAAATAAATAAATATACTGTTTAATAAATAAATGGAGAGCGAACTCAAATACGAGTAACAACTAAAAATAACGTTTAAAGTGATACAAATATGTCGGATTAATAAAAATTCATTCGGAAATTCTCTTTGCTTGCGTTTGAATACGAGACTGAGCAGATATAAAAAGAAAAAAATATCGAGATATATATGATGGGATAATTTTCGACTGAAAACATGAAATTAGCTTCGCCTAATCGTATGTTCCTTCGTGGTCAAACAATATTGCGTACTGATATAGATATAATATATATTTATTATAAACAGAGCATTTACTTAAATATTTGTATCTATAAAAAGAATGTATCAACATAAATATGTCTTCAAATAATTTTCGGAGTTTGTCCATTTCATAATGTATGACGTCATTTGTTTACATTTGGATACGCTTTGAGCAGATAGGAATGTACGTGAGAGATTCATGGAAGATTGGAGTTCAAATACAGTAAATTCGACCTTGCTAACCGAACGCGCCTCTGTGGCCAAATCGGTTAAAGGCACGACAATCTAAATGACAGTTCCGTACAGGATACAAGTTCTAATCCTGTCGGAGGACTAATATTTTCTGTGAAAATTTCTCGGACATTTAGGTCGGTAAATGTTTTTTAATACTGTTTATTATAAACAGAGTATTTACTTAAATATTTGTATCTATAAAAAGAATGTATAAACATAAAAATGTCTTTATATATATATATATATATATATATATATATGTGTGTGTGTAGATGGATTTGCGTTTGTGGTCTGGGTTAAGTGCAAGACCTAATAGGCAATCAAGTCACGAAGATATCATTTTTGTTAGAAAAGTTTGTTTTTTTAACCATTTCGCCCCAATAAAGGCGACAGTGCCATTATAACTCAGGGGGTGAAAGTCGAAGAGAAGACTTTAGTGGGGAGCAGTGAGGAAAGGACAATAAAAGAAAAGAAGTTGACGACTGACATTGTATTCAAATTTTTGAAGGTTATAAGTAGCAAGGAAGAAAGACAGCGGGAAGGAGTTCCACTGGTTGGAAGTGCGAGAAAAACTGTTAGAGTAGAAATGACAGTTGCATCTAGCTAGTTCAACAGTAAAACTTCATCCAACGCTTTTATCCACTGGGCCACATGTTCTCACATCCATTGACCTGACCCAAAGTGCTGTGAGTTCAAAAGCTGACTACAGCAGAGGCGAACAGAAACCTGGAGAATTGAGTTAAAGGGAAATAACTGATACTGAGAGATCAGGAAGAGGCATGGCACGTAGAAATAGAAAAATCTATCCCTGTGGACGAAATAAATGCTTCTGTTCGAAATTCCAATCTCCTGAAAAAAAAACCGGAGCGTAGAACGGCCGAAATGTCGTGAATATGGCAAGAAAGATGTGGAGAACAGTTCGAAAAGAATAGTGTAAATAATTACAATACCTCATCTCAGAAATAGAGAGATAATAAAGAGAAGTTATTAATTTTCTTTTAGTTCATTTTCGTCGTAAGATTAAAAAGTATTTTGGAGTAGCAGCTAATGAAACATATCTATCTAACAAGACAAAGTTTATGAAGAAAAAAAAGCTCTTCTCATCGGTGTGAACATAATTGAAGTCTTTTTTAAAACCCATCAAGAAGCGACTGATTTAATTCTAACAGTTGATTGAATGGTAACTGCCAAAATTCAAATTTGCCGAGGTAAGCTTATTCGATTAGCCGTATCGAACGTGGCACTGGCAATTAGAGCCTTACACTTGATAGATCCTTGAGTGATCGATTTTTCTACGCGCTTTGAAATTGAAAAGGACACACACACACATACATATATATATATATATATATATATATATATATATATATATATATATATATTGTTTAATTTACCTTTCTTCTTGACGGATTTTAAATGATTACTCGGGAGGAGATATTGTACAAACAATGAACGCCATTTTGTTTAAATAAGAGATTTCTAACGCGGAACGTGCATATAAAAGCTGAACAATAATTTCTCAAGTCAACCAAATTTATTTATTCATTTCTTTTCTACGTTTCTCGATTGTTACCAAATCCTTTTCTTGTCTCCAATGTCAAGGCCACCAGGCGTCGTTCTGTATTAGTTTACCTGCCCAAATAAATATTATCTATTTATTTATTTATTTATTACGAAAGTCATATAAAACGCACTTTCCTTCTGCACTCCTTTATAGGAAATCATTCGAATCGGGACGTGTGTGCCCCTTCAGGATATGTGCGTTTTCCTTTAAAATCTGGGCGATCATGGCTCTCCACAACTTCATTTCAGTTATCGTACTAACAAATATTTTTCACTTGACTATCATTCGCACTCGCTGTTTTCACTGTTCATTTACACAAGTTCATTACACTCTGTCTCTCTCGCCTTCAATATGCTCTGTAAGGATAACTTTTTTTAAAAAATGTGCAATATTTATGGGGTAAAGTGCTCAATATATATATATATATATATATATATATATATATAACCAATACATAGCTGACTCTACATCTCTTTGACTAGAGTTACATAAGGGTCAATTTTAAACATAGTCGTTGTGGATAGGCATTTGATACATACTCCCAACTGAAAAAAGACATATGAAAAGGATTGCAATCTTTAATACAGAAAGAAAAATACAGTTTTCACAACATCAGCTATGAATATGGCCACAATTTACAGACTGTATTCGAGAATAAATAATAGGTCTACTTTCCTGCAAATTACATTTTACAACATCACAAACACAATTCTTGAAAATGTCTAATAGCTTTAACGAAAGCACTTGGAACAAACAACGATTTGGATAATTTCTATAGACACTAAGTCCTAAAAAGATGTCTCCGTTGTCTTGCAAGTTAAATTCAATAATAAACATAACAGAATTAGTTTGGCTGTCATATATATATATATATATATATATATATATATATATGTATATATATATATATATATATATATATATATAGCTAAACCTAGACAGTCAGACAAACCTACCAAGGTTTCACCTATGCGGATAATCAGCCTTCCCTAACGATCGGCTTAGGAGAAACTTTGGTAGGTTTGTCTGGCTCTCGAGGTTTAACTAGACCTGCTCTACTTACCGTTTTTAAGCACTTTATTTAATTATTTTTAGTTGTTTTGCGTACACATATCGGTTTTTTTTCTTTGGGCTTTGAACCTGCATACTGGATGATTATTTTCGGCTAACGTACATGGTTTGATTCTTTCTTTTTTTATACATTTTTTCCCTTTGGTATTGGTTTGATTGTTTCCAAATCAAGACACCGAAGGGTTTTCAAACGGGTGTAGTTTCTTTACCTATAGGATTTACTAATACTAATATATATATATATATATATATATATATATATATATATATATATATATATATATTATTTTTATTTTTTGTATTTTATTTTATTTTTTTCTTTAAATTAAATTATTCGCTCTGACTTAACATTGAGCTCTCAGGATTTCATCCTCCTTGGGGTTATCCATACGTATTACCAAGATTTTCGTTATATATATATATATATATATATATATATATATATATATATGATGAAGCATTTGGAATATGATGATCAAGCGTAAAAAATCCCTGAAAAAGCGTGTAAATTATGCCTAATATCTTCCTGGAGAATTCATTAAAACATTAATCTCTGAGTGAATTCAGTTCTTATTCGTTGCATTTTTGCGACCATTTGCCATCTAAGAAGATGGCACTTCAATCTGCAGTCATTATTGGTTCTGCAAACTTTTAATTTAAAGCGCCCTCATTAATGGCATTGGGCCAGACTTATTTTAAGTATTAGAACTAATCACAATGGGGTATTAATTATCAAGCAAGTCTTTTAAATTCCTTATTTTAATGAGTTTCATCGTCACCAGGACTTTATATTGATTTTCCTTGTACCAGATTAAGTTATTAGTTACTCCTGCAGTCACTCTATTTTAATTTGTAGGCGTACGATATTGACCCAGGGCCGGTGCAATTCCTCTTACGGTGCCTCCTCAAACTATGATAAAGGATCCCTCTCACTCTATTACCTCTCAATTTTCATAAGGTACTTTCATATAAAATACAGATTTTATTGTAACCTAATTATGTATAATAATGGCTCGTATGCAATAGAGTGAAAAATTCATTTAAAAAAATCGAAAACAAATACAATGTATCTAAATACAAAGTAGAGATATAGATCACTCCATCTTAAATGTTTTTCTGATATTTTTAACATCAAATTGAGATTTTTCTTGTTAAAAGAATTTCTTTTTAACAAATTCAGCATTATGGATAAAAATAGTCAATTTTATATCATGATTTTTCGAGATTTAGCATAAGAAAAACAAATACAACGATTGGGACAAAATAAAAATAAAAAAAACAGAATGGTTATCAAAATCCATGAAAAATTTTCATCCTTTCAAAGTCATCTGTGGTTAGTTTAATTTGCAGCATATATAAATATAGTTAAAAGAAACAAAATAACAATTGTTGATAAGATAGCAAGGGTCATAAAGTACTTGCTGGGGCCCAAATAAGTCTTCCCCCCCACACACACACCGAATTGAACCCTTTATTTCGTCCACCGGGGTAGAGTGCCCTAGTTCCACGTGCCATGCCTCTTCCGGATTCTTCCGTTATTTCTCATTAACTCAGCTTTCCAAGTTGTTGGTTCACCACTGCAGTAGCCAGGTATTTCATTATCAGATTTCGCATTTTTTTCTTCTTCTTCTTTTTGTTCTTCTTCTCCTTCTTTTTTTCTTCATCTTTTTCTTTTTCTTTCTTAGTTTTCTCATTCATTCTCCCTTATAACACTTCGTATCTTTCATTATTTTATTCTCATTTTTCTTTATCAGATTTCGTTCTTTCTTTCTTTCTTTCTTTCTTTCTTTCTTTCTTTCTTTCTTTCTTATTAATTCTCCTTTATTACATTTCTTTCTTTCTTTCTCTCTTTCTTATTCATTCTCCTTTATTACATTTCTTTCTTTCTTTCTTTCTTTCTCATTAATTCTCCTTTCTTTTTCATTCATTTTTACATTTTTCTTTGTTTGTTTGTTTTTCTTTCTTTTCTTTTTTCTTTCTTTTTCTTTCTTTCTTTCTTTCTTTCTTTTTTCTTATTCATTCTCCTTTAATTTCTTTTCTTTCTTCTCCTTATTAATACATTTCTTTCTTTCTTTCTTTCATTTTCTCACGCTTCTTTTTTCTTTTTTCCTTTATTCATTTTCCTTTATTTTCTTTTTATTTTCTTTATTTCTTTCTTGTTTGTTTGTTTGCTTCTTTCTTTCTTTCTTTCTTTCTTTCTTTCTTTCTTTCTTTCTTTCTTTCATAGTATTCATCATTCTCTCGTTTTCATTCATTTCCTTTTCATCATTGTCTATTTAATCTTTTTTTTTAATATTCTCCATTCGTACATTCATTAATTTTTCGTTTCTAGTTTTCTAATTACATTTTTCTCTCTCTCTCTCTCACACACACACACACACACACACACACACACACACACACACACACACACACACACACACACACACACACACACATTTTCGTCCATTCCTATATTCATATTTTGTTTTTTACATTTTGCTGTGTTTATCTATAAATTTTCTTATTTTCTTTTCTGATTTGTTTCTTCCATTTCATTAATCGCTTTTCTTTTCTATTGTCTCTTGCTTCTTGACACTTCCGTGCAGGTAATTATTCCATGTTTGATTAATACATTAACAAGCCTTGAATTATTAAAGGCAAAAAGCGAACGAAAAGAAACAAGGCGCAAAATCTCCAAATAATACATGACTCATTTTGTTTCAGCTCGACAGGAATTCGCCGACACAAGCTTATCAAAGTTCGTCGACTTAAATTGAAAGAACGTTCCAGAAATTTCTACTAATGCGATCAAAAGTCAACAAACAGAAAGTCATAAACAGTGGTTTCTTTACTCATGTACTTGCTAAAAGTTGTCAAATATGGCAGTTGGTACTTGATATAACGCATTAAAATCTTGTTTCATTTAATATACAGAAATATGCGAGAAAATTTTATAAGTATACGGAGTTTAATATATTAGGTTGATATCTCTTGTACATAAAATATCTCTATTCTGTATGCGAGGTTTGTATTAGTTCCATTGTATTAAAATTGATTTCTGCAGGAAAGGTTCCTTGCAAAAAAAAAGAAAAAAAAAAGAATTTTAATAAGAATTAGCTTATTCATATAACAGTCCGATTCAGAAAAGCTTGCATTAATTCCTGACGGCTGACAGTCACTTTCTTCCTGATTTTCAATATATTTCTACAGTAAAATCATTGACAATGCATTTGCACCTTACACATAACAGCCATATCTGTTTATGTTTGAAATAATTCCTGACAGCTGAATATTTCTATAAAAATCCTCAGTAATGCATTTACATTATAAATATAACTACCCTGTTATATCAGTATTCCACTTCTTCTAAGTGCTACGCACCTTGAGGGCGTGAAACGATCATGGCTCTCCACAACTTCCCAATCTTCGTAGCTCTTAGAAATGTGTGCCTTTTTTACTAACCCTCTCACGTACTCTTTGACGACACATTTACACAAGGTCAGCAGGTAGTTGACTCGCTATGTTCCTTTGTCTCTCTTCCATTCAATAAGTCCACTGTGTCGTATTTTCCAAGCCTTCTTTTCTCATTATTTGTCGTCGAAATGTCAACCACCGCTTTCTGATTTTGCTTACGGTCACGTCATGTTGGAACTCCGTACGAACACCGAAGTTAAGCAACATCGAGCCTGGTCAGCACCTAGATGTGTGACCGCTAGGGAATACCAACTTCTGTAAACTTGAATGTGCAGCTGTTGTAATTGATAATGGCTCGGAATTGTTAATCGGAGAGCCGAGATCCAATTCCAGTTGGGTTCGTTATATTCACTTACGCGCAAGGATCATCTGGAAAGGTCTGCTTCTTCTTCCCCCAGCTATGGGTTAATTAGTAAAACGTGTATCCCTAAATCATTATTATCTCAATCTTAATATGTTTAGGTTTTATTCCAATTCTAATCGTCGCTTTTTAAAACAATATCGTTGCAGACGGGTGAAGGTAGTTATAATAATAGCGGTGTCATGGGAAAGAACATCTTTTTTAGTTTGTTTTGCAGGCACGAAGGTGCATGTTTGCCCAACGCATTTACATTGTTCATATAACAAAATTAACCTGGCGGATTTGCTTGACTTAAAATTTTACCACTGGGATTATATCTTCGTGTCGTGTAATCCTTCTGTAAAAATCACTCCGGAGGAAATACTTGTATAAGGCCCAGCAAGAAAGAAACTTGAAAATTCTGAAGAATTGGTCCTAACGCTCACAGAATATCATGAAACCAAAAGTGACAGAGAGAATTATTGATTACACTACGGGACGACCTTGTACAAATGGGTGTTAAAACAGAGACTGGGGGTGATTATAAAGGGACAAGTCTCGTTTATGGTTACAAAGAATCGGTTGCTGGGGAGAGCTATGATCACTCACGTTCTGGAGGGACAAGGCACAAAAAAGAAAAAAAAATATGTATAATTGATTTTAGAGATTTCTTTCCCAGTCCCATTTCAGCTAATAATTATCAATCAATTATTGCTTTTCCAGTGACGTATCGATAAATTAACTGATGTGAGTCATTGATTTATAAACAGATACGGATATCAATTCATCTCTCAGAGAATATGTCGTTAATGGTAATTTAATTCAAAACACTGGCCCCACGCCAAACGGAAAGAATTTGGCCCTATCAGCCATCAGTGTGAATTTTCCAGCCTGGAGAGAATGCCCTTCTGATCTGCCCTATTTAAAAATGCCTCACTTCTGCTAAGAATCATCATATCATCATCATCATCATCATCATCATCAGAAGAAGAAGAAGAAGAAGAAGAAGTAGTAGTAGTAGTAGTAGTAGTAGTAGTTCGTTCGTTCTGGAGTGTAGTCCGAAAGTCTTGTCACCGCTACATAATATAACGTTCTATTTCAGATTGCTGGCACAAGCTCCGATATTTTAGAAGAGAGGGTGCTTGCAAGAATATAGTCACATGATCGGGTGCATTCTGGAAAGAGTATAGAATGCTTTGTATTACAGTAATACTTGTTGTTCTAGTGTTCTCAGTAATTTTAGGTTTGGGGTTGACAAGACTCTCGGACCACTCTGTAAAATCTCGTTGAAAATAACGTTTTCGACATTTTAAACGATTGATGTTTTTTCATTAAGGATAACCGTACAGCTAAACACCTTTTGCTTTAGAAAACAGCAAACTTTTTTGACTTTTTTTCTCTGGAGAAGATATATATTGCTTTATTAAAAATAGTTTTGTATAGTCAAAGAAATTAGAAATAAATCATAAGCAGCGATATGTGTCCATCGTTGTTCATGATGACGGTCGTCTTTGAGTATAGAATCCAGAGGTTAGCAGTGAATATTTCGAAGACAGTAGGAAAGCGTTGTTCAGGTTAGCAGTGGATATTTTGGTAAAAGTAGCAGAGCATAGTTCGTCCTTCTGTTCCTCTTCGCCTGACAAGCTGGAACTGGACATTCGGGTAGGGTAAACAAAATGGTCACCTTTATACACGACGGATTGAATGTTCTACGTCTTCTGATTGGTTAAGCTTCTATTGGTGGGCTATAAAGTGAATCAAGTCATTTGGATTGGCCCACTAGTACATATTATACACAAAAAACTGCAACATCGATGGTACTGCCATCAGTGATAATATTATATCAAGATTTCTTTCTATTTTTTGACAGTCACTCGCGTAGACTTTCGCCTGCATCAGTTAAGTAGGGTTAGCGGCAAGCAATCTTTAAACTTCTGTAGAAGTAATGGGTATTTTTTCCAGCAGGGTACTTTTCAACGCGCCCACATCGCTACCGAATATGACACAAGGTCGAGGTTTAAACGTGAATACAGTGGACAAACTGCTCAAGTCCCTCTAGGCACATACCCTTTTGGTGACACTTCAGACGCCGGGCAATAAACCAAGCCTCCACTCGAAGGAGAGGTAGTGCCTGGAGGAAAGTCTCTCTGGGGGTTGGGTTTAATATTTTTTGACACTACCTAGCGTTGTCTTTCGACTACAGCAGTTAAGTATGGTTAGCGGCAAGAAATCTTTAAATTTCTGTAGAAATAACGCGTATTTTTGCGTAAGCTAGACCAGACATCCCACCCACTTGGATTTCCAAATGGCGCACCTAATTTCAGAAAGGAAATAATGTAAAATTTGATTGTTTCTTCTTTTTTTGTTCATTCGCTCTCTCTTATACCCAACACCATACATGGCAATGATTATGTATAGAGTGATTCAAAAGTGTTGTCACAATCGACATAATATAATTTTCTATTTCAGACGGGCTCATCCAGTTTGGAAGAGAGCCTGCTTGCAAGTGTGTCGACGATACCAGAATGCCTATCACTTGAAGGACGCTTTTCGGAGAGCCTTTGCAACAATTCACAAATCACTGCTTTGTAAAATATCACACGACAGGGCGTGGCGCCTGCATCATTTTGTGCCACGAAAATGGTGGTGTTCATACAGACCTTCTCGATGTGTGATAGCGTCAATGAAAGTGAATAAAACTGAATCCAGTACATGTGTTTTGTATTACTGTATTATTTGTTTTAATGTTCGCATTACATTTTGGTAGCGGGGGACAAAAACATTGGACCACTTTGTTATGTTTGCCCACAACATTCGGGTGCACAAAGTATGAAAATTAAAGTTGAACATTCCCGCTAGAAAACATGTTTGTTTGCCTAGTTACAGTGAGTGATTTACAAAATGGTTTGAGATCAAAATGTATAAGAAAAGGGAAGTAAGTTATAAATGTTTCCTATTTGTTCCGTATCCTATCCTATATATATATAACATATATATATATAATATATATAATATATATATAATATATATATAACATATATATATAATATATATATAACACATATATAATATATATATAATATATATATATATTAATATATATATATATATAATATATATATATATATATATATATATGATATATATATAATAATATATATATATAACATGTGTATATATATATATATATATATATATATATATATATATATATATATAAGTTGATGTCATTAGTATTAGTGGTAATGGTAATATTTAGTTCGTGATCATTGAAAAAATGTATAAGTTCCTTTCTCAATGGGTCTATATTCCCTGGACTTGTTTTACAGATGAGAATTACACTGTGCCATGTGTCCTCAATAATCAACCAGTCAGACTTTATTTTAAATAGATAGCAATCTGATCCACAAGGACACATCTAATTATCAAGGACTCATGACACTGTGGATAAAGGCGTTAGTTAGATCCAGTGACAGGACCCAGAGACTGTGAGTTCAATACCCGGTTAAGGCAGTGGAGAACTTGGAGATGTGGAATTAACAAAAGATAACTGATAATTGACATCCATTAAACATGGCACGTAGAACTAGAACAGTCTACCCCGGTGAGCGAAATAAAGGGTTCAGTTCGACATTCCAAACACCTGAAGAAGGCCGGAGCGTACAACGGCCGAAACGTTGTAATAAATATGGCGACAAAGATGAGGACAATAATCCGAATAATGTAAATAGTGAATTGACTGAAACCTCTACCTTGAGTAGCTCTTGTGCATTGCTTTTGGTAAACTATAGTATATAAAAAGTAATGGAGGATTGTTTGAAGAAAGGAAAACGTTCAAGGACTAGTGAATGGAATATAAGCATAAAGAAGACCAGAGAACACATCAGCCTATTTGTTGTTTTGAATACTACAACGAAAAAGCTAAACTTGGGAATAATTCACTGAAAGAATATAATCTTTTTTGCGTTGTTGGCTTTTGCCTATGTTTCGCACACGAATCTATTTTTTTTTCTAACTTCAGTTTTTTTCTTTCTATAGTTGCCGATATAGATACGATCGTGATTTGAGTCCCACTAACAGTAAATCACCTGGTTAAACTATAGCGTATTCAATAATTCATGAGACGGGATCAGTGTTTCTTTCCAGACACGGACTGTCCAACTTCATTTGCAAATGCCAACGACGAAGATGGCATAAAAAGATGTAGGAGGGGCAAAAGATCATGGTATAATTATTTGAGTATTACCAGGTGCCCCTAGCTATGGCGTGACGAGTGCAGAATATATTTAACAATATACAAAATTCATACACACACACACACGAACGCTACACACACATATAGATGTGTATGTATGTAAGCATATTATGTATGCTTAAACAAATATATATATATATATATATATATATATATATATATATATATATATATATATATATATATATATATATATATATATATAGTATATATATATATATATAGTATATATATATAGTAATATATATATATAGTATATATATATATATATAATATATATATATATAGTAATATGTATATATTAATATATATATAGTGATAGTAATATGTATATAGTAATATATATATGTAGTAATATATATAGTAATATATATTTTAATATATATATATATATAGTATATATATATATATAATATATATATATATATATATATATATATATATATATATATATATATATATATATATATATTGATATTTATGATCAGAGGCAATATCTGTGAATATATATATATATATATATATATATATATATATTGATATTTATGATTAGAGGCAATATCTGTGAATATATATATATATATATATATATATATATATATATATATATATATATGAAAAGGAATTTGAAAATGCATTTGGAGTATTTACGAATATTTATTTAGGTAAATTTACATAT